GCACCCATAGAAGAAGGGGACGAAAAGGGAAGTGAACCCCACCTTCATTAATAGCTCGAGTATGGATGAGAATGTTCTCTCTAATGCCAATCAAAGGTTCGTCAGTCCCAACAACTCGAATGTCAATGTCATCAGGATGTGGTATTTGGTTTTGAAAGCAGGAATCTCAGAAGAGGTAAGAGGATCCATTTTACAAAAGACAAAGATCAAGATAACAGAAGAAAAAGCTAGAGGAAAAAGAGCAAGTATGCATGCAATGATAATAACTAAAGTCCAAAGGACAAATATTTAATGCGAGACATGCCTTCAGAATGAAGTGCATGTCTCATAGATGCATGCAATGATAACTAGGGAGCATGAAACGACTGCCAAACAAAAAAGCGTGTAACACCTTGATCTGGCCTTATTCCAATAATATCCGGCCTTATTCCAATAATATGAAATAAATACACCACTTACTTGTTGTGAAAACATGTCTGAAAGATTTATAGGCCATCCATGGCAAAACTACACCATTAACTTCTTATACAAAAGTTCAAACATAAAAGTGCGTCGATCCAACACTTACTAAATGTAAACATAAGGGTTATACCAAAAGCGAACACGCTGGCTTGATACCATACGAAGTAAATACAAGTTATGGTACATCCATAACATTTAAAAGTTAAGTATACAATGCAAAAAGTTAACCACACCTAGATTAACTCATGACCCCTCCTGACTCAATCTCTAATTTCGGCAGTGGATGTCAGGCTAGTGAACCAAAATTACTTGAACAAGTTTAAAGAAAACTCCACTGAGTACTCAGTTGTACCACAAAAAAAAACAAAAATAGTCAACAAATATTATAATGTAGTAACCCAACCACAAAATACACTAACAACAGCCTCGTAATTTCTCTTATGAAAATCTATCCTGAAAACTCAACGGTCTCACAGTGAGACATATTATTTCGCCACTCAGGCAACATATTCACAAAATTCAATCGGTTTATGGATGCCATCCGATATCTAAACATTTTATTCCTCGTCACTAACTTTCATATTTCGAACAAAAGTTGTGACTGTCGATGACTTTTGTTCTTGTCACCTTAACGTTTTTGGGTGCAAAACTTAATTCATCACTTAGATATATTAAATACTCAAACTACTAGTCACTTAGATTGTTTCACTCGATAATTAATTTTCGTCACTTAGACGATCTTATTGTGCGAATGTTCTTAAGTGAAGAAGACTCATGTCTCGTCATTTAGACGGATTTATATCTTGTCTTCAGACGGTTCAATGTCTCATCATTCTGACGGTTTTATGTCTCGTCATTCCAGTCGAAAACAATGCGTGAAAAGTTAATCCCCATTACGTAGACACCCGTCACCTAGATGACTCAACTACATATCTGAACCTCATCATGCAGATGCCCGTCACTCAGACATCTCAATCACATAACTGAACCTTGTCATGTAGACAATCGTCACACAGACGAATAGTCACTTAGTGACCAATGTTAGTCCCAAAACAGCCTGTGTCCTAATCTATATTCTTAATTCCATTCTTTTCGTCATAGGGACGGATTCCAACTAACTAAACCACGAAGGCTCACTACATTTTTCCACAATCTAACTAAATTATCACCTTTATGTATTAAAAATCACAAATCAAATTTGTAACATTATCACTCTAATAACTTAATTACCGAAATATAAAAGATTGTAGGATAGTTCATCTACCTCTTGCAAAGCTCTACCGTGTGGACGACCCTTCCGCTGGAGCCTTTTGTGCGGCATTTCTAGCAGTGTTCATCTCTAGACCTGACACACCCGATGTCCACAATTTCATTCAAACACATAACATCAATTGAGTTCGAGATAATTTACTCGAACCAAGTTTAATAACTGCATCACAGTGATTCACATAATTCATTCGCATCAAATAATATTACTTACTCAAATCGATTTTTTTTTATGATTCGATAATATTGTTCAAAAATATGTAGATTACCTAGTACATCGAGTAAAATTCTTTTAAATTAAATTAAGCTAACCTCTTCGAATTCATTACCGTACTATTTGTACGAATTCAAAGCACCCAACTATATATTTTCCACAATATTACCATTTCCCACAAAATATACTCAAATCTATATAATTCTCTATCTATATAATAAAGTAGTTAGATTTCTTTATCTTTATCTTTTCGTGGCTCAGATTTCTTTGCGATTATTGATCATATGATCTTAATTGATCACTAAATTTCTAGAGGTCTCTCATTCTAGAACTCTAAAGATGTGTATCTCTCACTCTATGTCTCATTTCAAGACTCTTTGAAGACGTTTCTCCCTCTCAGCTTCGCTGCCATCAACCCTGTTACCAGGTTTGATTTTCTTACTCTCTCTATTTTTTAATTTTTACTCTATCTCTCTTTGTTTTTTTTGTTCTCTATTTCTATCTCTCTCTCACTTCAACCCAGAACCCCCTGCCTGAAAACCCCCTACTTTGCTCCTCTCCTTCCTTCTGTATCTCTGTTCAGCCTCTCATTCTCCGTCTGGCATCCTTTCTCTCTCTCTCTCTCTCTCTCTCACACACACACACACACTCTTAGAGAAAACCATTGAAACCATCCCTTCCTCCCCTCCTTCCACTACTACCAAAACCCACCACAGCCCCCCGAAACCAATGAACACCTCCAAAGACAAACCCTTTACCCCAAACCAATGAACACCTCCACCCACTATCCTTCCACCAGTGCCATCGAAACTTCCTAGCCAACCAACGCCTCCCCCCAAAACACACAAACACACACACTGCCAATGAAACCCACGACAGCCTACCGAACACCGGGTGTTTATATTATTGCTTCAAGGAGTTGGCTAATGTTCTCCTTTGATTTTTTTTTGTGAACTCATTTTGTTTGATTCCAACCTTTATGTTTTTGGGTTGAATTTTGCGAAGGGGTAGCGGCCATCGACATTGTATCTCCAACGACTAGCAATCGGCTAGTGATGACACAACTCCAATGACGACGATGATATCCTAAAACACTACTGTTAGTCATAAAAACTAGTAAGAACATATGAAAATTGTTTTTAAAATTATTAATTTCTCACAATCTGTCAAATGCGTGAAGTGAAATTGACGTTGCCATGGACTGAATTTGCCTCTGATTTGGTATTCTTGATTTTTTAATTTTGATGTTATCAATCCGCAATCCTGCAAGTAGTTGTTAGTGTCGGTTATTCTATAATTCTAAATTCTAATGACACAAGTGTTAGATTTAGGTTTTTGAGATAATACATCTTTTATGCTTCCATTTCTTTTGTGGAAACAAAACTCAGGTCACGAAACAACCAAGTTGAGAGAGCGAAAACAAGTCTCTTCTATTTGTTTCATGGTTTTACTTTATTTTATGTTATTGTTGTACCTTGATTGAATTTGCTTTTGTGATCAATAAAGGTGTTTCACTCATTTCTTAAACGCGACACATTATAGGTAAATATTTGTGTTTATATGAAGTATGTCATTACAGGAAAATGTTTCTTTCTATTCTAATTACACATTTAGATCAACATTCAATTACTAATTCTAATTCGTAAAACCATCCTGGCATCTGATAGATAAAGGAGAAATATTGGCAAAATAGAATGCTCAGTTATGCATCGGGAAAAGGCTGATGCTCCTACTCAGATAGTTTTAGATGGTAAGGGTTTCGTTAAACGAAAAACTTTGGGCTCTTGCCTTGCACTGTCTAAGTGGGTGGTTAATATTCTCTGTGGTATTGAATTTGTGTATACCGTAATTAGGCACACTATTTACAAACTTGATGGAAATATGTCCTCCATCGTTTCACTTTTAATTGTCATATGATTTGTATAAACTCATAGTCTGTACACAACTGATGTGATTCATTGGATTTTTATTAGTTCAACAAGACAAAGGAAGAGAAACTTAGTGTTGATTTGATTCTAACAAACTAAACTGCCTTAAGTAGCATCTTAGACCATTTTTTTATTTTTTCTCTCTTCTTTTAAATTTTATGCGGGCATGTATTCACTTTTTAAATTGAACAGTTGTAATTACAATTACATTTTGCTGCAAGTAGAGGTACTAAATGTAGTGGATAACAAATGTGTAGATGTTTGGATTGCTTCCAATTGTATAATACTTAGAATTCCTCTTGCATTTTTAGAATTCCTCTTCCAATTGTATAATTCATTGATTGTTTTCACTGATTTTGGTATCGACTAATTGGTTAAAGTGGAGTACTATAAGTACAGTGAGTTTGCTTGGATTTGTTAAAGTGATTCAAGCATACTTTATGCCCTTTCTGATAGTATAGGATTGAGCAAGTGCTTGGAATTGAGATTGTTGAAATACTTTATGACTTTTTGTGTTCATTGTGTAATTTAAAAAAAAAAAACGTTGAATTTTGTTTGTGGGTTTCAGCACTTGGGGCAAAATTTGTGTTGCATTTGTAACTTTGCATAGAAGGTCCACCCACTTTTGCCAGTGTGCATTTTGGATAAAAAAGTGTGTTGAATGTGTAGTTTTTCTGTGCTAACTTCTTAGAAATAGAAAGCATGGATAATTAGCGGCATGGATTTTCTCTATGTTATGTGCATAATTTAAACAAAATAAGTAGAGAATTCAAATTATGTTGATGACTATCATTTGAATAGGGATAAATTAATGAATAAAATCAACTAGACAATAGATTATGGAGGAGGTAGGATCTCTCTATTGAGATAACTTCTCTTCATGGTGACTCATAATCTAATCTTAAAAAATTGTTAAAATTTGAAATTTGAAATCAATGACAATATTTTATAAGGTCAATAAATAATTTCAACATTTTAGGTCCTAGGATTACTCTATCAAATATACCATGAAAACCCGTCAATTTTTTTTTATAAATATAATTTTTTTTGGCACATGCAACCTGGCCCATAACCATTGGTCCGTTGACCAGTGAGGGGTGTGACCCTTTGCACAAGTTTCATTCTCCAATCTCCACTGTAGATTACAGACTAATGGGTCGGGTCTTAGTATCTTGATGATGTCAAAACTAGTTTCGGACCAACTTTGCCGCTCTCTCTCGTGAAAAACCCTCGCGTCTCTCTTAGAACCCCGACCTGCCCATCTCTCTGAACATACCTCTGTAAGTTCTGTTAATTTTCTTTTTCAATCTCGTGTAATTGTATTGTTATGCGGTGATTGTTGAATTACCAGGACAGCACAAATTGAGAAACTTCAGTTCGTATAAGCTTGTAATTTGCTTTGTATTGTGTGATTAATAAGTTCGCCTCTTTATATGTGCTTTGTTGCTTTATGATCACAATTATCCGCATGGAAATCAGGAAATTCGTTATTCGATTTATAAAACATCTAATCTTTTGTTGGCATTTGGAAAAAAATCGGTGTAAAATTTTTGTAGTTTATCTTTTCCAGCAGTTTTTGTTTGGGGGGGGGGTAAATAAATTAATTCAACAGTGTTGCAAAAATAATGGAGTTTGTTGTGTTCTATGAATCAAAATTCCTCGATGCATAGATATACTAGCGATAACCCGTTGGATGAATGAATTTAACATCGTACAACTTAAATCGAATATTGATTGTGAATATGAAATAATCAAGTATTAAACTTGGACGCACACTAAGTTGAAAACCTAGCATACATTCTTTAATACACTCGCATTTTACATAAATGATTAACAAAGTGTTAATTTATTTAGAAAAAAAAAATTATTGACCGTTGGATGAATGAATTTAAGACCGTAAGATATGTTCAAGATCTGTCGTTTTACACAATTTTTTTTGTTCCAATATGTATTGAAGAAGGATATTTTAGTCTTGTACAATTATTTTTTACTCATATTAGAGCTATTTAATAGCTTCTTTAATCTCTATGCAAAAACCTTAAACGACAGATATTTAAGAACGGAGGGAGTAATTTCTTGACCGTTGGATGAATGAATTTGAAACCGTAAGATGTGTTCAAAGATTAGTCGTAATCGTTGATTTTTTGGGGGGAGGAAATATTAAGGAAAATAATTATAATTTTTTGACCGTTGGATGAATAAATTTGAGATCGTAGGATCAGCTTATCGAAGTCGCCCTATTTTATATTATAGATCCTTTCCGGCTACAAAACTAAGTTGGAGAAAGATATTTTGTCTTGAAAATTTTTTGGTGGTAATNTGTTACAGATCCTTTCCGGCTACAAAACTAAGTTGGAGAAAGATATGTTGTCTTGAAAATTTTTTGGTGGTAATGATCTGAAGCGTATTAGATTGAAGATATGAAAATGTCTTAATGGTGTTCGGGACGTGATCATGATCAACATGGTAAACGGAGGACATATGAAGTTGGTAATTTGATGAGAAATAATGTATTGGCTGTCCCTTCCCTTTTATTAAACCACCAGTTCTTATATTGAGTAATTTCGCTTGCCATCCTCATACATATTGGGTGCAAGTCCGGAGGATAGCTTTGTGCCTCAAAAAAGGGGTGAAGGAGTTGATTTCATATTGAAATTTGTTTACTGTGAAAATGATTTGCTTGGTTATCAGTTTACCGTTATTTTCTTCTGAAATCAACAAGATATTAGTTTTTCTGACTTGATGTCTTTTTAAATTATCACAGATAAGCACAAATGCACAAATAATAGATTGCTAAATAGAATTCCATTTACAGTAAAGTTTTTTTCTTATGGTGGTTGGTCTTATTGCAGGTTTCTTGATTTCTGAACTTATTTCTCTCCTAAGAGCCTCAGATTGGGATTTTTTGTTTCCCTAATCCTTAGACATGGTATGTCTTCATAACTACTTTTTCCTTCATGCAACTTTTTGTGCTTGTAGGTTGTAAATTTGTAACTGTTATGCATACAATTTGCACTGGTAGATGCCTATTTGTGTATTATCCTGTGATCTTTTTAGTTCTTACTATTGCTGTTTATCTTCTGTCACAATGTTTTAAACTTTGGTCCAAGTTAGTTAGTTGTTGATCTTCTGCTGTATGCCATATAACTGTACAGGATTTCGAGTTAGAGGTCTGCATCTTCCACTATCTAAAACATGGGGTGTCCTTAGCATTATTTAAGAAATGAAGCATGGATGGAGGCTCTGCTCTGTCCCCTGATTCCACTTGTAGGACATTTTGAAAGGTGTGATGGGGGTCAAATAATTAATTTTGGTGGTATTGTGGGACAACTGTAGGTGTCATGTTCGACTTTGGTCCAGAAGCGTAGTCCTATTGACATTCCCCTTCAGGAATGAGCACAAGGCGAGAGGTTTGCTATTGTCTAGTCATGCTTGCAACCTAAACTTAGTTGGGATGATGTCATGCCGTCCAAAATGTCTGTAAAATGATGCCTTTTATTGTCTCGGTAGCTATTATTAGCTAACCCTGTGTGTTTGTTACTAATTTTCAGATTCTTTAATTCTCTAGTAAGTTTTGTCCCATGGCCCTAATGGACTAAACACTTGCCACCTCGAAACTTGGAAGTTTCTGACCTGTTATTTGCACATGGATAATTCTCGGTTGAACTTGTCAATGCTGTGTAGGAACTACCTATATTTGCAAGTTTACATTGTTATTACATTTGTTTATACTAGAGGTTGTAGGGATTACTTATTATGAGTTTTGATGGGGGTCTGTGACAAGATTGAGCACTTTGTTTGGACTTTGTCTGAACTTGTGCAGGTCCTGAAGACTTCAATAGTACATTGTACCAGAACAGAAGAGACTGGTTTTCTTTTTTCAGTTGTGATGATAGTATTCGGAGAAAATTCAAGGAGAAGTTAGGTCTGATGAATAGTGTTTTTACTACTTTGCTGCATTGATAATTAGTCGTCATATTGAACACATATTGACCAAAGCCAGCTTCAGTTGGGTTACTGTCTATTTTGCTACATCTATTGTAGTCCCTGTGCGCATTTCACACCCTCGTTTCATATGTAGTCTATGTAGAATAAGCATTTTCTTCCCTTAATCGTTTTTGACATTTTCCCTGGTGTTAACACTAAAGTATGAATGCACTGGTTTGTGGGCTGCATTTAAAGTGTTTGATTGCTGATACTTTGTGAGAAGTTTTTTCTTTCAGTCTTGTTCAAGAACACTGATATTTGTTTTGTGGTGGGTTTGCCACTGCTTTGCTGTTTGGATCCTTGAGCATTACTCATGCATTTCACTTCCATCATTCCAAATGCCTAGTGCAATTCTATTGAAATGGGGAAAAAATAAGAAAGGATTTAAAAAGTATTTTGTAATGAACTTCTTCTTGGTTCAGGCTACGAGGCTTCTTGCCAACTTGATTGTGATGGGCTCAGGAATAATGGCACGGGCTCTTGTGCAAGCATATCGCCAGGCACTTGCAAGTACGTCTTTAGTTTAATTTTAAACTCTCAGTGAGTTACGTGGAGGTAGTCATTGAACAATGAATTGATAACTGGGGGAAGCAAGAGTAAACCAGGGGCGGCCATCTCATGTTTATCCAGGCACAAGCTTTGTGTAGTTCTCAAACTAATGTGTAGAGAATCTTGCAGATTAGAGAACAACATAGTAGCTGCCTGCCCTTGTGCTTGGCCTATCTAGCTGATAATTTGTTTACTATTATGTCAAAGTTGGAGAGTTATAATACTCTTAACCATTGTCCTTGTTTGTTGTGTTGGTTACACCTCATGTTCTGTTGTTGTTTTGCTGCCTCAAGTTTGCTCACCTTATCTGTTCCAAAATTCGTGTTGCTAATTGCAGATGCGTCAAGAAATGGTGTTGCTCATGAAGCAGTACAAAACATCAGAAGAGCAAGCAAAACAATGGCTGAACCAGAGGCCAGACAGATTTTAGGTGTCACTGAGCATTCAGCGTGGGAAGACATCTTGCAGGTTCATCTCATGTTACCCGTTTTTATCTTCATGCTGTCCTAAGGCTAGTAATCTAGTCAGTTCTGCAGTGTCACCTGAAAATACATGTTCCTGTTTTTGCAGAAGTATGATAACTTGTTTGAAAAGAACGCCAAGAACGGGAGTTTTTACCTTCAATCAAAGGTTCATAGAGCCAAAGAATGCTTAGAAGCGGTTTATCAGAGCAAATCTCAGGGAACTGCAAATTAACGATCTGATGGGCTTAAGCACGTCTTGGTTCATGGAAATTCTTCTAATCGATTAAGGTTTTTTCGAAATTCTTTTCAACATCCGTCATTCATTAGACACTCGTAGTGCAAATTTGAACTGGCTTCGTGTTCCTCCTATGTAAGGAAAAAATATGTTCCTTTGTACTGTAACTACATTAACAAAATGATAATGATGAATTTTTGACCTCTGGGTTATATTGATCATTCTTTGCTTCGAAACAAGTATATAGGCTGTGCTACGTTTTCTTAGGATTGGTGAATGTGCAAGGGGCGATGATGGCCGGGCCAGCCAGTCGGTCCATTGTTATGGTTTTTTAGGAGAAAAAGTCCAGCTGCAAACTTTTTGGAACTTTAAGGACAATTATGTGTGCAAATATGAAAATACTCGATTCTCTTTCAATACAAAATTTCAAAATTCAAACAAAATCATGTACATAATTCAAAAATCAAACAAAATCAAATCTCTTTTATTTTTGATCTTTCATAATTAAATTATTCATATAAAATTAACATTTTAAAATTTAAAATAGATTTAAATCTCCTTTATTTTAAACTTTTTAAAATTTATATATATAAACTATTACTTTCACACGTGCGTTACATGGAAACAACTTTGAGAATAGATAATTGCACAATAAAGTCGTAACCTAATTTATCATCTTATTAATTTGCTGAGTGCTTAGATGTAATAATTATTCATCTCCAAAGCCATGCTATTATCCAATTTTACACCAGTCCACTATCGCCCTTAATTTCTTATAGGACATAAAATACAACAAAGAGGTTAATTCACTTACATATTTTGTGCTTATATCCACCACATATATTCAAATTCAAATAATATAGAGATGATTTTGAGTACATATTTGACACCAAAAAACCAAAAAAAAAAACGTAATATTTATGACGACAAATTAACATGTCTCTAAAATATGTATGGTGGTAGGACTATTTCCATCTTCACTCATGTTGGTGTTGGTGTTGGTGTAGGTAAAAAATGAACACCCAGTTACCAAATGGACTAAAGTCATAGAATAAACACCCTATCAATAGTATGGCAAAGCAAATACATAGGCAGAAGAAGTATAAAATAAATACCCAAGTGAAATGAACAAAGAATGAGTAGAAAAACATAATCATACACTAAAAAATTACTCATATATAGTATCAATATTCACTTCCCATTCTTGCTAACCTTAATTTGGAAGTATAGGATTTTGGAAAAATGTTTGACTGCTTCTTCTCACATCAACTTATTTGTCCAATACCAGCATATTTTGTTGTCCCAATTATTTTTTTCTTGGAGGTATTGAAGTAGTTAGTCTTGATATTTCAGTACTCTATAAGTAATAGCCAAAGTGATGCATCGATTGAGAGTGATATACATGAAGATTTCACAAACAGAGATGTAGTAGATACAAGGGGGGAGGGGAATGCTATTACATACGTATAAAATTAAATGCTAAGACCACCTACCAAATATGCCTATTGACTAAGTTGGAAATATAATAACATATTAATTGTAATTTTATACCTATTAGGAAAGCATATTTCAAAATTGAAATTAAATCTTTTACAAATAAAAAAATATATTTTTATTGATATAAAATCTGATTAGATTAGTCACCCTTAAGTCCTGACATTATCGATTTTTATGACCCATCTGATTTATCATATGCTTAGATTATGGATCTAATCTCAACATACTTGTACATGTATTGCTTTAGATTCTCTCTGCCTTTTGTTTTTATTCTTTATCCACTCTATTACTTGTACCGAAATGAAATGAACTTACTAAAGCTACCACTACCTAAAACCATTGAATAGTTTTATTAATCAATGGATTATTTAGTTGGCTAAATATGTTAGAAAGATCTAATTAAACAATGAATTATTTAACGTAAGTTAACAATTGATTATAAAATCTGTGGTGGTGTGACACTTTTGATCTGAATTTTAAACATATTGACCATATGATTATTTTGAGTTTTAGTCTTTGCATTTGTGATTATTAATTTACTAGTAACTAATCTATTCATGTTTTTGGATAATTTCATTTCAAAAAGGTTTAATATACCGTCCTAATAAGAGTAAAATTAAAATTAATATGTCATTGAAATTTTCAATTTAGTCAATAGGCATATTTGATAGGTTTTAACATTTAATTTTGAGCTTCATTGAGCGGTGACCATTAGATTATGATCTAACTGCTCACATAAAAAGTATCCATTGGATGCTATGGTGCAGTTAGATAGTATCCTAATTTAGAGAAAAAAAATGAGATCACAAAAGTCATCACCGATGAATTCAACAAATATTATCAACATGAGCTGTGCAAAGAACATCACCAAAATAAATTCTTCAAATTTACAACAATTATGAATGATTTTTAAAAGGCAACGATTGACACAATCTTTTGACAATACATGATGGAAAAAAGAGATACAATAAAGAAAATAGAAGGTGGTGAGAGAAGAGATAAATAATTGAATGAAAAAGATAAGAGAAAGAGAGATAAAAATATAAATAAGTTATGAGAGATAGGGGAAGAGAGAAGATAGATAAAGAGCAATACATAGAATATAGAGGAGAGAAATGAATTTAAATAAATGATATATTAGAGAAGAATGTTAGAGTTAGAGTTAGTAAGAGAAATTAAAAGTACAGATATGAGAGAGGAATTAAAGAACAAAAGAGAACGGAGAGAGAAATAGTTAGACGGGGTAAATTAAAGGAGAGGGAAGAGAGAGGAGTCTTAAAAAGATATATGTAATCCACTGAAGGTCAAAATAGGAAATAAAAAAAAACTAAAGGGACTATTGTATCTACTTATAAAAAAGTATATAACATGTGTCTTTAATAATTCAAAAAGATTACACCTATCCTTGATAAAAGAGTTACTCATGTTATACTTAGTTCCATCCACTTGTTTTAATTTTGTTGGGCTATTGGACAGGTTCCTGGGTTTATTTGGTGGGCCACCTTTCCGGGGCTGTACAAGGTCCATCTACTGGGCTTTAACAAACAAAAACTCAACCATTGACCCTTTTTTTTTTGTTTTTCATGTTTGATCATGGGCATCTGAGTCAATAGAACAATCGGTTTGTTCGTAGGAACGAAAAAAAAAAAAAGTTTAATCAATAACAGCTTGCATACTCTACAAAAATAAACCGCTTCTCAAAGGCAAGGAAGGATTGATGATACGATTCCAAAGCAAGGGGAAGAGGGGCATTCGAAGTAGTCCAATCTTAAGTTCAAGCCGAAGCATGTCTTAGAAAAGAAGAAAATTCCGATTCCTGTGTTATAGAAACTTAATTTGAAGATTTACTTTATTTAATTATTGGATTAATTATTTGTTTCAATGATAGATAAACAATTCAACAGTTTTAGTTGATTAAGTTGTGAGATTAGATACTAAAGTTGGGTCCAAAAAATAATTTACGAGTTAGGTCAATTGTTGAGCCTTAAATATGTGCCGTGCCGTGCCGTGCCGTGTATGGGCGGAGTGCGCATCTATGGGTCATAGTGGCTCGTCTTGAATCTTGAACTCTTAATGACGATATGAACTTAGCCTCTGTTTGACTTGGGAAGATGTTTCAAACTCATTATATTGTTTCACTTTGGAAGATGGTCCGAAGTAGTGATATTGGATATCGTTTCAAGGACTTGATTACGACGGTATTAAAAAAAATAAATCGGTGCCGTATCTCTCAAATTTATTATTTTAATGGTTATTTTATAATATTTATGGATTTTTTTTAACTAAAAAATTTATAATTTTTGTGGTTAATTTATTATTGTTATGTTAACTATTTTTACCATTTTTTTTTTGTTATTCACAATAATAACAAAAACATCTATAACAATGATAAAAATATTCATAAATATGATAAATATAGATATGGTATCAATTTTTTTTCCCGTTACCATATACAAATTCTTGATTTAAACCACAATGTACTATCGGTTGTTTGGACTTTATGGTTTAATATCCCGTAGGAGGCATATAACTCTAAATTATATATCTATATAATAAAATAATTTACAATTCAAATTTCAAAAGATAAACAAAATGACTTTTGTTATTCGCGGTTGAGATCGCTTTAATTTTTTACTTTAAAGTTAATCTAACGACTGATATAAACACCCTAAATTTAATAGGAAAAATAGGTCTCTAACAGTGTGTTTGAAGTGATTTTTTAAAAGAACTTCTACAAATTATTTCTCATGACTACTTTAAAAAAAATAATAATATTTTAAACCGCTCCACCACTACCTTTACCACTGCTGCCACCCCCACCCCCACCACCCCTACCACCACTATCGCCACTATCGTCGTCGCCACCACTACCACCCCCACTATCACCACTGTCGTCATCACCACCATTATCGCTGTCGCCACCACTGCTACCGTCACCTCCACCCCCACCACACCGTCACCCCCACCACTGCCACTAACCCATCATCACCGTCATCACCATCGCTGCCACCACTGCCACCAACCCTCCATCACTGCTGCCACCACCGCCAGCGCCACCACCAACCCCCCACTACCACACCCGTCACCACTCCTACCACCTCCACCGCCACCACCACCACTACCTCTACCACCACTGCCGCTGTCACCACTATCACCATTGTCGCCGCCACCACCACCATTATTGTCACCGCCCTTGCCGCCATCACGATCATTGTCACCCACTATAACCATCACCGTCTCCTACCACCACCACTGTCGCCCACCACCTCTCACCCGCACTGCAAACCGATGCTTAAATTCTTTTATCTCTTCTCTATGTTTGTGATATAATTTTGGATATGAATACAAATATGTTTATTATTTACTATTTTTTATTATACTGTGTCTTCAGACACAGACAATAACTAGTATATATATAAAATATGACAGATTTTAATAAACTCATCTAACGGTTTCAAGTAGACTCATCCAACGACCACCAACATCCCTCTCAAAATCATTCACATTAAAATTTTCTCACCCCCCAAATCCATCACTTCTTATTTATGTTGCATTGTGCCTTTAGACACAGGTTACACCTAATAAATAACTAAAACGAGAGACTCAATTTATGTCACAACATCATAAATGATTTTAGCTGATTTAAATAAAATGATTTAGATAGCTTGAGTTAACTCAAAGCAGCTTTTGAACAAAT